TATAAAAATATATCGATATGTTTTAAAAACTCGATATATCGCCCAGCTCTAACTGGGACCATTTCTAATTCTGTCCTGGGGTTTATACAGGTGCAGTCATTTGTAAAGCTATAAATAAACCCAGCAGCTTCAAGATCATTTTTGCTCTGGCAAGATGGCAAGACGGTCATATTCACTGCTTCAAGCACTTGACTATGTGATGCGCTCAGAAAGCGAAGATGACGAGGAATCCTCTGCATCTGAAGAAGAGGCATCTTCTTCAGTCTCCTCAGAGAATGACAGCATCACTACCAGTGATGAGGATTACCATCCAGTGCCCGATTCCTCTTCTTCAACAAGTGAAAATGATACAGAGACAGCAGTCGAGGCAGAGCGGCTAATGGCAGAGAAGGTAGGAGAAGCGGCAGAGACCGGGGTGCCGGTGGCTGAGTGGATATCTCGTTCTGGGAATATTGAGTGGTTTCCCACTGCTGAGGAGACCATGCGCTACAATCCAGTACCCACTAGTATCACTCCAGGGCCCACCCTGTACGCAGTTGCCCGCATTAGCACCCTGAGATCTGCATTTGACCTGTTTGTGACAGAAGAGATCATTCAGCTGCTGTGCACCCACACAATCCTGTATGGGAGGCGAAAGTGTGAGAATTGGAGGGATGTGGATGATGTGGAGATGAGAGCCTACATCTGAATTTTGATTCTAGCTGGTGTCTACCGCCCAAGAGATGAAACAACGCGTGGTTTGTGGGCTGACAAGACCGGACGGGCAATATTTCGTGCTACAATGCCCCTCTACCGCTACTCCCAGATCAGTGCTAACGTCCGCTTTGATGACAAGCTCATCCGCCCGGGACGTTTCAGGAGCGATAAGCTTGCTGCATTTCGGGTCCTGTGGGAAAAGTGGGTTGCTCGTCTCCCCCTGCTGTTAATCCAGGAGTTGATGTGTGTGTCGATGAGCAGCTGGTTGCATTCAAAGGTCGATGTGGATTTCGACAGTATATGCCCAGCAAGCCTGCAAAATATGGCATTAAAATCTGGGTGACCTGTGATGTGGCAACCTCCTATGCCTGGAAGATGGAAATTTACACAGGAAAATCACCTGGAAGTTCCCGGGAAGTTAATCAGGGAATGAGAGTTGTGCTACAACTGACAGAGGGGCTTCCAAGGACACACTGTCACTTGTGACAACTTCTTTACTTCATTCAGCTTGGCAGAGGAGCTGCTCAGAAGAAAACTAGCTCTGCTTGGCACAATCCGGAGAAACAAACCAGAGCTCCCTCCCCAGCTTGTTCAGCTGCGACAGAGGAAGATTCTTTCATCTCTCTTTGCCTTCACCAAACCATGGCAGTCTCCTACATGCCCAAGCGAGGGAAGAATGTGCTTCTTTTGAGCACAAAGCATAGGGAACCAGCAGTCAGTGATGGGGAAAAGAAGAAGCCAGCAGCAATCCTTGACTACAATAGGTGTAAAGGTGGAGTGGATAACCTAGACAAGGGTGTTGGCACCTACAGTTGTCGGAGGAAAACCAGTCGCTGGCCACTGGCTCTGTTCTACAATCTTCTGGACGTCTCAGCATACAATGCCTTTGTCCTGTGGAAAGCAGTGCATCCTGAGTGGGAGTCCACCAAAACCTACCAACGAAGGGTGTTCCTGGAGGAGCTGGGCCACATGCTGGTGACTCCAGAAATTGCAAGATGGCCTTGTGCCCCACGCTCAAAAGCAGCCGCTGCTATTGTTGCTGAGATACAGCAGTCAGAATCAGAGTATGACCCACAGCCCATCAACAAAATGAGGAAAAGGTGCGAACTGTGTATAAACAGAAGAAGAACGGCAACCACTTGCTCCAGCTGTGGAAAGAATGTCTGCAAAGATCACTCTGCTGTGGTTTGCGTGTCCTGCCATCCCTAAGTGCGCGTGCACACACACACATACACACACACACACACAGAAAGAGCATGTATTTTGTACAAACAAGCAATAAAAGGCCGTTTTTGGCATGACTAACAAAGTGGGAGTTTCTTTTTTTGGGGTCATTACTCACAGGAATAATACAAAATATTAATATTAATAATAATTATTTTTGTTACTGGCACTGACCTGCAATGATTAAAAAAAAAAAAGGTTTCGTCATTCAACTGCTGAAAAAATGTGAACTTTATTGCCCCCCAAAAAACATAGTAGTAACATATAATTTGACTGGTATTCAAAGGGTATAATTTCTGAATTTGAATTATATTTTGGTTTTCATGACTAGGACTGGTTTTCATTTAAAAAATAAAGTTGGTCTAAGTAGAAAAATGTTTTAATATAGAATAATTTTATAGTATTCTGTAAATGTAAACAAGGGGTGGCCATTTTTGGCCACGAACAAGCTGAGAGGGAGTTTTTTGGTTTTTCTGCCACTGCAGAAAAAAACAATGTTGCATAAATGTCATTGGTGCTGTTAATTATTGCTATGCATCTAACCTTCATCATGGTTGGCATATATTATTTAGAAAAAAAAATGGGATTTTATGATTTTCTCTATTTATGAGTTGTTATGATTATGTGCTCTAACTGGTATTTAAAGGGTTAAAATTCAGAATTTGAATGAAATTTTGATTTTCATGAACAGCCCTGATGCTAATCTAAAAAATCAAGTAAAAAAAGCTGGACATTTTTCTTAATATATATGAATTTTATAGCATTTTGTAAATGTAAACAAGGGGTGGAAATTTTGGCCACGAACAAGCTGAGAGGGAGTTTTTGTTTTTGCTCTCTCTGCACTAAAATAACAATGCATTATAATCAATGTTGATGTGAATCAATTATATGCCCCAGACTCTACTATTAATAATACAAGAAATTTCAGTAGCAATGCAATTATATAAAATTGCGAGATTTGAGTTTGTCGTCCAGCTGGTGCAGTGGACAAACTGGTGTTTAAAGGGTTAAAAAATAAAAAAGTAATAATTATTTTATATTTATGGAAAGAACTGAAGTTACTTTAAAACTTTATGCAGAAAAAATGGCAAAAAAGCCCATAAAAATAATAGAAAATTACAGACCTAATCTGTAGGTGGCCACTTTTGGCAAAATGAGATACAATCTCCCCCCTTATCCTCTTAACATCTAGTAGTGTGGCAGTGTAGATGTCAGGGATACCACAGCCTGCAATCCAGTCCCCAAGGTGACTTTTCAAGTCTGCCAGGTCGTCTGGGGTGCTGCAGTTGGAAACCTTGAAAATCAGGCACCTCCATAAATACATACGTTTAAAGCATTCACTTAGTGTACTTACATTTTGAGACGCTCCACTGATGAGTTAAGCTATGCATTGTGTTTCATTGAATTTAATTACACCTCAGCATGCACACAGCTTTACCTTTTCTATGTTCTGTTTGATGTCTTCATCCATGAAGACCTCTACATCGAAGTCATCAAGAGATGTCTTCTGGCCACACATCATACAGAACAGGTGTCTGTTGATACACCGTGGCCCTGGCCCATCGTGTGCTATCGACCAAGCAATCAGTTTACCAGCCGTATAAAACTTGTTGCTTGACAGCAACTGCTGGCTATAGCTGAACAACAGACTGCCAGGCTTCCCCTCAAAAATCCCTAGGGAATTCTGAGTTTCGACCATAAGTAAGCTGCAGGAAAACGTAGTAAAAAAACAAACAAAAAAAATGAGTCAAATTGTGATTTCATCTTTGCAACAACAAAAAACACATTCACGCATTCTATTATTGTCTGAGAGAGATGGGAATGGGTTACCGAAAAAATTCCCGCCTTGGGCCTCCATAATCATCGGCCATTTCACCAACAAATTCAATATTTGGCAATTTATGCCAGGCAAAATATGACTTAGAAAGTGCCATGCAGGCACTATGTAGGATTTTCCT